TGATTTTACGTTTAACACTAAGTGATTCTAAATTTTTAGATTGCCTAAGTAACGATGAATGATGAAGGATGAATGGGGTAAATTAGGGAATTTTTTTAGTTTTTTGGAGGTATTTTATGAAGTTACATGCATATTTTCAGGAAACAAATATTCCACAAACTTGTACTTTTCTTTTATAGTGTCCCATTTTTCAAACCAAAATTTTTATTTTTCAAGTATAAATCAAACATTTCAAAACCATGTTTCATAGAAATACCAAATACCATAAGGTTCGAGTTATGATAAACCAGTAAAATGTATCAGAAATTGCGGAAATAACGTAATACATAGGAGATGTGCATGCGTTATTGTCAAGCTGGTGTCTTCCCACTGCTAGAAGCACAATCCTGAAAAAAAAAACATATAATCCACAACTGTAAGCAAATAGCTTAGTGAGTTCCCCAAAATATCACAAACATCACATTAACAACTATACATGCAAGTAATGGGCCTATTTAGCTCACGACAAGTTCTGATCTCACTATCATCCCAATCGAGTACTTTTTGACAAACGACCTACCTCGATCTTCTCATTAACCCACCGGGTACAGTTCAACTCACGGCCTAACCCGATCTTTTCATCATCCCAACAATACACATAACATACCAATCAATAGGTAAACAAACAATAGGCCTTAAACTGTGACAACTGTCAATTTTTGGATCAAACAAAGTCAACCAAGTCAACTTAACTAGTATTAGGACTTTAGGATTTACGCGATGTTTCCTAATGTTCTTAATGTACAACTTACAAATTATAATACAAAGTACCTCTCAGGATTGCCAATTATCGAATATAAACCCTAATTAGGGTTAGTAACGTAACAACTCGATAATTCAACTATATATTATTTGGGAATAAATAATACTCGTAACACAATGTGGTGGAGTTCATAAACCTAATACTACAGGGCAAAGTCATAGCAAAGGCTACAAACACAAAGTTTTGGTGAATTCGTCACCAAATGCGACAAAGTCTATACCCGGCTAAACACCCACTTTTTAACGAAACAAACTTAGCAATTCAACCTAACTTTCATGTAACGTATTATTTTTTTGATAATAATGTTTGTTATAATAATTTGAATTTTTATAATTCAAATTAAATATTTTATACATCCTTTATACCATACTTTTTTATAAAAACACCATCATTTTTATAAAAGAATGCCAAGTTTATAAATGTTTGACTTTTTTTTATAAAAAAAAAAAATCACTAGTTACAAGAAGTATCTCCATCATAAATAATCAACTACACTAACCCTAGGGTAGTACACCATTAGTCTAATCCTTGTCCCCCCATGCACCCCCTACCTACCCCCTTCCCCCTCTCTCTTTTAGTTTCGGCCGAGAGGCCTTTCTTCACCATCATTTTCTTCATTTTCATCTTCTCCAAGAATAAGCTCTTATCTTCCATAGCTAAATTCTTCCAAGTTGGTTCTTGAGTTTTTGGTAAGTATTTCCTTCACAATCTAGTGATTCTACACACTTATAAACTAGTTTCAATCCATTTACAAACATTATCATGTGTTACTATTCATAGGATCTTCAAATCTTCAAGTGTTCTTAACTTGAATATTTCCATCTACAACCTTTTATCCACCAAGAAAACACACATAAGGTGAGTTCATACCCCTTTCATTTTCAATTTTCCATGTTTTAGGGGGAGAATACAAGTAAACGTGTACAAATATACAAGTTATTATGCATACTTACTTATATGCTGTGTTAAAGTGCTAAATACATGAAGTAATGTTATTACCAAGCATTATGAACATTTAGATGTAAAATTTTGTTTAAAATACAAAACTATGAAAAACAAGTATAAACATGTTATATGTTCTTAAGAAAAAGTTATAAACCCTAAACAATAAAAACTAGGGTTTTTATGAACATAATATGACTTTTCTAGCAAAATTGGTTATAACCAAGTTATTACACCATTTTTGTGGGATATAAACCAAAATATGTTACATGTCTTGAAACTAGTTAAAAATACCAAAGATTTAGTTTTACAAAAAGAAAACTTAAAAATCTATCATTTTATGTAAAAGTGAGTTTTCTAACAAAAATGGCCATAACTAGGTTATGGTACCATTTTTGTGGGTTTTGACCAAAAATATGTTGTTTTAAACATATAAAGTTAACTTGACTTAAATATCACAAACAATGACACGAGCTGATAGAGGACACGCATTTGTGCGTGCCCTAAAAAATAATGTCAGTTTTGTAAAATTTGAAGGATAGAGGGCACACATTTATGCGTGCCCTAAAATTAGTGTCAGAAAAGAAAAAAAAAAGGAAATGCGGAGGGCGCCTATCATAAAATGTGTGTCATCTAAGTGTGTCGCTTTATAATTTTTTTTAATGAAACACGCGTTTTAAGCGGGGAAATGAAATTCCCAAAAATTAAACAACCGCTTGTTCTATCTGGAAAAATTAAACCCCATGCCTCTTCCAATTAGCTTGAAAGAAGCCTAGGGTATTCGTCCCTACTCTGTTTGCTTTCCCTTGTCCCTTCCTCCTCCTCCTCCCCATTGTTTTTGGTCACTGTTTTGCTGGAGTCGGATGAAGTTGCTTTGTGCGCAGAGGTTGAGTCTCTCATGCCGATTGTGAATGGACTGGGTCTCAAATTTCCGTCATTTGCTGTTCAATTGCCCTTCTTCTTCCAACCCCTCCGTCCTCTCTGTCGGATTTTGTTCTATCTGTGTCAGCCCTCGATGGCTGTTGCTTTTATCCCTAATTTTGGAAGTTGGTTACAAAGATTCAAGATGTGTTGTACTCTATCTTCTCCACCGAAATTGCAGAAGTGGTTGATAATAACCCTTGTTTTATTGTAGATCTAATCGACACCTTCAAGCTCTCGTGATTTCCCTATTGTAAACATTAACATTTGACAAAATGTTTCTTACTGTTCCTCAGGTCAAATCCTAAGAACAGTTTTCTCACTATTTTCATCTTGCCTCTTTGCTTCTTTGACTGAACTAAAAACTTCATCTAGGACGTGCTTCTGCATCTTGCTTTTACCCACCCATGATTCCCTTTCACCTTCTCTCTAACCAGAGACGCATCCACTAAGGCCCTCACCACTGTTGGACCTTACGAGTCAGACCACCGCACCACCACCATTAGACCCACTTACCACTCCAAATCGTCATTGTTTCTCCTCTCAAACCACTACAACCACCCTTCTCTCTCTCTCTTTCTAAAATGCTCATTTATGACCACCATCACACCAGCCACTACACCATCACCATTAGCAATGCACACCACACCACCACTACTATCACTCTTTCTCCATACGAAAAAAACCCTAATTTGTATGTGCTTACAGGTTTTGAAATGAGAGTGCATTGAAATAGGTGACCTAAAAGATGAACTCACATGAAAATCCATCGTTGGAGGTAGGTTTTTCTCACTAATCTTTACTTTTCCTCAATGTTATTTGAAATTTTGCATTATATATTTCTCATCAGTATATGTAGATAACTTACAGTTATATGAAATCACTCTTTTATGAAGCATCATCAGGTTGGGTCGTTAAAGAAGATGGTACCAGAAGTTGTTTTCTATTTTCCGTTTAATTTCACCCAAATTGTTTCTTAAATGTGTTATATCCTAATCTTTGTGGTCGATTTGTTCACCACACATACATACTGCTATTTCTAATTTTTTTGGAGTTTGCTTCTTGAATCAGGTTTCTCCTAATCTTTATGGGTTTTTGAAGAAGATTGTAACATGAGGTGTATTTGTTATAATTTTTTGTTGCAGAATCTTTTTGGGATTTGCTTATAAAGGATGCAATTTGTTTATGAGTAACCAAACACATATGAACCGAGAAAAGACTGCAGCTCCTTTTTATGTTATGCAGCAAATGAGTAGGATACTTACCCCCCTTTTGCCTCTAAGTCTTTTAAATTTTAAGTTTTAGTTTGAAGATTGAATCCTTTGATACCACAGATTATTTTTAATTTTGATTAAACCCTTTATCAGGTAATTACTATCAGGAAGATATTTCAGCTTTAGAAAATCCAAATGGGATTAGCTTTGCACCTTGAAGGAATCAAGGTATTTAACTTTCTATATGGTGAACCTTAATTATATAGTTAATTAGGTCACTAATTTAAGCACTTTTTGTGATAAACATGGGAATTCTTCAATCTTATAGGTAACCTTGGAAGTGTTTGTCCTTTAACTTTAGTTAATTACATAAATTATTGAACTGTATTAAATTTATTCACCAAAAATACTATGTTTCAAAGACTTGGCTTCAGAAAAGTATTTTTTTTACCATTTATTTATATGAATTAGTTGTTTTTTCATCAAACTGAAATTATAGAAATGTTTAATTATAACTGAAATTATGCCTTGATCTTTTGGAGGTTTTATGCCAGCTGGCTGAAAGAGGCCTTGCAAAGTCTGTTCGATTGCTGCTTGAATACCCTCTTAAGCATTGCCCTGAAGTGTTCTTATATGGGATGGCCCATGTTAATGTAATTTTCTTCTCACTTTGTTTTTATTCTTTTTATTAAACTTGTTTTGGTTGATGGTATGCCTATGAAAATATACAGACGCCATATAATGTCCTGCAACATGAAGTTTCTTTGGCTGTTCTTCCTGTGATACTTAAAGACCAGATATTTAATCTCTTCTTTTTCTTCCAAAATGTTTGAAATTAATAAATTATTATTTACTTTTGATATTTGTTTGTAGGAAGCAGAGGGGGGAGTGATCGCAATACCTATTCCTGGGCATCCAGTTGCTAGACAAGAGGAAAAAGTGGTTGATGACTGCAAACGTCTTTCTGAGTGATCGCAATGCTAATAAGGTTAGTCTTGTACTTTTCTGCTTTGCTGTTGTACTTACTTTATTATTCTAATACTGATGCTGATGCATTTGAATTCGACAGTTTCTTAGTAATATATAAAAATTACCATTATGCCCTTGATAGTCTTAGTTTAATGTTTCAGGTTACAATTACGGGTGCATTGGGGTTTGATAGTTTCTTGGTAATGCGCCATGGTGCGGGCCCACTACTCAGCAGAAATACATCATCAAAAGCTAAGACTGTTGTTGGCTCTTCTTTATCTACTAGTGTTGAAGAAATGTCACTGGGATATAAATATAGCAAGCCGAGACTCGATTGTTACTTCTGTAATGACGTTGTTGCCCCTGTGGATGTATAACACTTACTTTCCTCCTTTATTTTTAACTCTTATTTTTATAGATAAAACTGAGATTTCATTTTTGTAATTTTTATTATGCAGTCAACAGCTAACCGCACTTTGGACCAACAATGCACAGTTACACGTCCTAGACTTTCCCCTATCGCATCCGCCCTTGCGGTTGAACTTTTGGTTGGGATTTTGCATCATCCTCATGGGTAAGGGTATTTTCGGAACAAAACCAAACATATTCATGTGTCTTTGGGTATGTCTACTTTGCGGTTGAACTTCTAGTTAGATGTATACTTTAGTTTTATTAAAGGCTACATATATCTTTATTATATGTATTTTAAAATATCTTTTTCCTATCACAGATTATATCTCCTGTATTGGATATGATACCTATGTCTTTGGGTATTAAGTTGGCTTCCCTGGCTTCTAGAAAAGAACTCATAGATCATGAAAAGTGGTTGAGTGCAAATTTAAGTACTTACAGGGATACTTTCTTTGAGGAATGCCTTAGATTCCTGAAGGAGGTGGAGTTTGGTGTTCAGGAATCTTCCAATCGGTTGCATAGCCCTGGTAACATTTGGACTATTTATGCAGAGACAGCTTCTGTGTTCTTTAAGGTGTGTACATTTTCAATTTCAATCATTTGGGGCCCACACAACACTGTTGAATGTTTATATAACCCTTGTTTTCTTTTTAGGTTCTTCAATCGCAAACAGGCTTGCTTACTTCTAACCAACTTATCAAAAAAATGGAAAGATTATTATAGCCTTGTACTTCTGTTTCTTTTTATTACATTATTGTACTTAATTAAAACTTCTCAATCACATAAGAAAATGACTACCTTTTCATGAATGGACTGCCTTTTGTTAACTTTTTTTATTATCCCAAAAATATTAGTACGTTGCTTTTTCATCCTTTTAGTCCTATATGTAATTAGTAACAACATCAATTCCGATAATATACTATATTCACTATTGTTATTGTGGCCTTTCAAGTTTTGTTCAAAGAAGGAAACCATGATTTTTGCAACAAGGATGTCGATTTACCGGTTGAAGTTGCCAACTCATCACATCCGGGTGGTCATTCACATCTGGGTGGTCCTTGTTACGTATAAAATAATTATCAAGGGTATTTAATTTTACATGTAAAAATTAATCAGCCCTTGCTTACTAGCCTTATTCTCTTTTGTTGTCAAATGTTTGTAGGCTTTCTTCGGTGTGTTTGTTGGGTTTTGGTATAATACAACATCCTATGGTGCACATACAACCCTAAATACCTTGGATCTATGTTTTCACTAATTATACATGCAAATGGTTTCCAAGGTATTGAACCTATAGCTAGCATGCAATTGTCATACAAACTACATAAAATACTAGATATTGTAACATACCTTTTGTGTGGCTGGAAGTCTTGATGTATTTGGCCTTAAGAACTTAGCCCCAATAGTGTGGAAGCCTCAAATGAAGTGACAACACATCAAGGACAAAGGTAGGACTTGAGAGAGAATCTTCATGCACTCTAAAACCTTCATGAACTCCAAGAACATGCAGACACTCTAAGGGTGGCGGTTTTTAGGTCATAACATATGTATTTATATGTGTTGAATTCTAAGAGTCATGGGTATAACCCAAACCCATATCCATGGATCTTATGATCCATGGTTCATGTGGCCCAACTCTTTATGTATCCATACATAAACTTGGTCCAACATGGATCATAAGCCCAACACATATAAATATAACTAATTACCATAATCAGTCCCCATAGTTTTAATTAGTCTCTTTTGATCACTAAATTAATTCCAAATTAATTATTGATCAATACTAATTAGAACATATGATTTCATATTAATATATTAGAACTTATAATATATTAATAAATCATATATAACCTCTTCTCTCAAAAGTCCATCCTAACAAATTGTCCTGATGATATGCAACCCAAATGGACCATGCTACTCTCGGGTCGAATACATACCAATAATAGTTATGGGCTTAGACACCTAATCCAACAGTGTTCACACATGAAACTGTAAATGATTATTCTTACTTAATTATTGAAGCTGCTGACTCATTAATGATTGTAAAGCACCATGAATCCGCATTGAAGTACTACCTTATGTTAGAAGGGAATGATGGTGTAAATAAAGTAAGTAAATAATCACAACCATGAAAGGTAATTATTGTTATTTTCTATTGCTTTTCAATTCATTATTTGGTTTTAAACATGCCTTCTTTATGCAACCTTGGATTATATTGATAATTGATATGATACTATCTAAAATAACATTTATAAAGTTTGTGCATTGTGCCAGAATGCCACCAAAAAAGAAGTTGAGACAAGAGGATTTCCTTGGAGCAAACTTTGAAGACTTATTGGCTGAAATGACATATGGAATGAGAAGAAAAAGAAAGGTATACCATCATCTAGACTTTCTTTTCAGTCTTGATTCTTAGTCCTACTATTAGTGTGTGTGTGTATATATATATATATATATATATATATATATATATATATATATATATATATATGTTTAATGAATGCATAGTTATTCATTCAAAAGGATGCAGAGGAGAAGAAAACATCATTCAATCCCAGACCGTATTTCAAGTTATTCATTGATTGGCTACTTGACCTTAGTACCCTTGATCCGGTTTTTGAAGGTGAAAACTTTCAGGTGTGTATTCACTTTTTTCTTTTCTCTTTTCTCTATCATATCATCTTGTATTGTATTGCATGTTAACTTACCGATTTTCCCTGTGCAGGTTCCAACACATATATATATATATATATATATATATATATATATATATATATAACTAATTACCATAATCAGTCCCCATTGTTTTAATTAGTCTTTTTTTATCACTAAATTAATTCCAAATTAATTATTGATCAATACTAATTACAACATATGATTTCATATTAATATATTAGAACTTATAATATATTAATAAATCATATATAACCTCTTCTCTCAAAAGTCCATCCTAACAAATTGTCCTGATGATATGCAACCCAAATGGACCATGCTACTCTCGGGTCGAATACATACCAATAATAGTTATGAATTTAGACACCTAATCCAACAGTATCCCACTTGGATAAGTCTAAAACTATTATTTCGTATGACTCCAAAACCCGACTAGCAATCGTAGCTCTTAAAGCCGCTGTCGAACTCTGAACAAATCAATGACACGTCCATTAGATAAGGGATCATATATTCCTCCATTCTAGATATCATATGGACTGAGACATGGATTATAATCATTCTCTCTGTCCATTTGTTGTTTCCTGATTTCCTATTTATGACGACTGACTAATTGAACAAATCAAATCAGTCCCGGCCCGGCCGAGCACTTACGTTTTTCATCACCAAATCATCGAGGGGCCCACAGATATCGCTTTTATCCCTCCAAGGGTAAAAGGAATGGATAAACTTCGACTCATATGCTTGTTCTACTACTTGTTGAATCATACACAAAGGCATGTTTTATAACATCGTACCAAATGCGTTTACGTGCAATCAATGTATAATCAACTCATAGGCAACAAGTCATATCTCTAGGTTTGAAGAATATAAGATATTATCGTCTCATGATCACTCGTGATAAAATCCATGAAGTGATTCAAATGAGCGTGGGTTGAATCCAATACTCGAATCCCTATTCCAGGAGTACTCATGAATGTTGTAGTAACTCTTACTATGTCCACCACCTTGGACATCTACAAACCCGATTCATGACAGTCTTGCCATAATACCTACTTCCAACGTATTATCGACTGTGGATGGTTTGAATAACTTAGTCATTCAGAAAGAATAACCTAGTTATTCTGGAAGTCAAAACATGCAAAGTGAAACACAAGAATAATACTAATCACTTTATGATCCCAAGCACCTTTGAGAGTAAACAGAACACTTTTTATTTAAACACCATATTGATTACTCATTATTCATTGTATAATGTTTCAAATAATCAACTTTATACTTGAATTAAAACAATAGTTGTCCCATGCTCCAAGCATGTAAACTATGTTTTCTAAACACTAGTTATGCCATACACCAAGTATGGACACTATGTTTATCTATGATCTTTACTTTTTGAAATAGATCAATTGAACATGATTCCAATGATGCTCATTTCACAATCCCAAATCTTTATCGTAAATGTAAGAATTCCAAATTCCTACCATTTAACGAAATCTGTTAGATTCTAAACTTATATCCATTGATCCTCTCGTAATGACTATGCACAAAGTCACAAAGACTTGTCAACAGACATTACAGAGTATTCCAATGGAGATCAATTCCACGGAAACGAAGTCTCACATTCAAAGTACATTCCTTTAAACATCCTTCTTGCATTAAGTTTTCTAATCTTACACAAATTTGAAGAACAACTTCTACCTATGGAAACCTTTCCAGATTCCCATTTTGACTATCACTTCTGAACAAGAGTTACCTCTTTTCCGAATATGTCAATATGGTCCTTCCAAAATTAACACTTATACTTCCAACTGTCCATGAGCAACCAATCTTTGGTAAACCTCCGATTGTCCTCGAGAATTGCTTAATCATTTTAGTCATATCCAATTCTAGATCTTCTCTCCTCTTAATGCCTTAGGCATTCAGAAAATTTAGAAAGGATAAATATTACAACACATGCAATCGATCCTATATCTGAAGCATATGAGACACGATTCATGATGTCTCACATAAAGACGTGATCATAGACCAGTCTTTTGCTACAATATTTTTTTATTTGCCATGTTTTCAAAATTTGACTATGAAGAGGGATGCCGTAATTATAATCGAAGTTTGAGAACGCAATATATATAGAGTTTCCTTTTGTTTGGTCATTCCAACATAAAATTCATATATATATCCTTGACTAAAGTTGATCAAAATCTCAATCTAAGCTTTTAGAATTGAAATGAAGTATAATTTCCTCTCCCTTAATTATAGCAAAACAACTTTTCCCAATTGAAACCTTTTGTTTTCTATAATTAACACTTAACATAATGATCATGCTCCCACTTACACGATAATTATTAGCATAACACGTATGCTCTCACTAGCTTTGACATGTATCCAGAAATCAGTTGGACTTCTAGAAATCAATACTTTATTGACTTTCTTACCAAAGTTCAGACTTCTGATACGAGATGCTTTGATAAAACTTTATCAAAAAAACATACACCTTTCCTTAGATAACTCATATGAGTGTCTAAACAATTTTTTAGAACTATGAAAAGGGATGTCGTAATCATAGTCTTAATTGTTTAGACCATTTCCATTTCTCACAAGTCCATGTTAGTGTGCCGGTTAACCACACACGCTCCACTAACGACTTTGAGAATGCAAATATCACAATTGCTATCTACCTAAAATCTACTTAGTGAAAGTGTTTCCTTACCATCATTTTCATGAATCGAAGAGAAACCTTATGACACTTAGATTTTTATGGTGTATGTGTTCCTATCCATGTGAATTTGTCAAACCATAATCACAAGACAAGGTTAGTGACAAATCCAAACTCATATGGACCGAACTTGTGCAATCTTAATTTCTTGCCACTTGGCAGCACAAGGGCATGCCATTGCTTCCAAGTTGTTATGCACCCAATGCAAAACCAACTTTAACTGGAATGGGCACAAAAACAGGAATATGTTAACACGATAGGTTATAAACCTCAAGTCTTGTGCTAGTGATGAACTACAGGTTTTATTCTTGATTAGATCTTGAAACTCTTTCAGGATCTTTTA